GGCTCAGTTCAGCTCTCATCTCACTTGCCAGAGGAGAGCTCCCTGCACATCCAGCTGCAGGAGAGGCTGAGAAAGGCATTCTATATTCATATCTAAATGTATATCTAATTTTAAAATCTAGATTGAAATCAGTTTCACTCAGAATTTGAAAATCTGCCCCTTTATCTCTAGATTGCATAGGGTGTGTGTGTGTGTGTGTGTGTGTGTGTGTGTGTGTGTGTGTGTTTTACTAAAAATTGACCCTACATCCTCACACAGGTTAGGTAAGCACTCTAACCGAACTACGCCCTGGCCAAGCCTGCATAACTTCTAACTGAAAGTCTTAAATTTAAAAACATGATACATTTTGAAAAATGATTAATAGTGTTTATTAAAGTGCAATAAATGTGTACCATCTGACCTCCAAATTCTTCTCTCAGGTTTACATGCAACAGAAAGAAGCAAGTATGTTTAGCTCAAAGTACATTCATAGAAATGGGAGTCATAATAGCTCATAAATGACCTCTAATATCCATTAAATAGAGTGGGTAAGTAGGTGAGTAAACACTAGAGTGGGGTGTTATGCAGCACCAAGAATGGGCAGTTATAACTAGCTCTACAGCATGGATGAATTTCACAATTACAGTGTTGACTGAAGGAAGCCAGGCACCAGCTAATGTGACCTGAACTGTCCCATTTATATCTGTTACAGGAAATAAAGATAGTGATTCATTTTGGAGGAAGGAGCTGACCAGAGGTTGAACCTGCTGGGGGCCTCTGAGATGCTGGTTGCTTCTCTTTTTTAACCTGGGTAATGGTTGCATTGTGTGCTCAGTGTATGAGTACTCGTTTAGTTGTGTGTCTGTGGAATATTCCTTTACACTGTGTAAATATAAATCACTGTGATTCGTTTAATAAAGAAGCTGACTGGCCAATTGCTAAACATGATTAAGTTAGGCAGGAGAGCCAAACTGAGAATGCTGGGAAGAAAAAAGGGTGGAGTTTGGAGACACTAGCAGATGCAGAGAGAAGCAAGATGGGCATGCCATACTGAGAAAAGGTAAATAGTCACATAGCAAAGCATAGGTAAATAATATAGGTTAATTTAAATGTAAGAGTTAGCTAGGAACAAGCCTGAGCTACTGGCTGAGCATTTGTAATTAATATTAAGTCTCCATGGCAGTTATTCTTCAGGGTCCAGAACGGCCTTACCTAACTAGCAGCAAACACTCTGTGTGCTCATGTCTAGGGCTGTGGGCACCTGTCTACACAGTACGACACCTGCCTACACGGTACAGCTGGGTCTCCCCTAGAACTGGCTTACAAACCGTGACCACTTAATGCAGTCATGAAGGTCACACGATCCCATCCGGCTGAAAGAGACATTATTTGAGCCATTGATGATGAACTTTTAGTAAAGTACTTCCCTGTGACTGTGAGATAAGGGATTGACAAATTTTGATGAAATTGAGGTAAGTCAGAAGCTCAACAAGCCCTCTGGGATAGCGAGGCATGAGAATTCTCTGAGGTGGGCAGGAAACCTGGAGACCATTGCTTGAACATGTACGGTGTGTCAGGCTGAGTGTACACGGTAAGCTTTGTAGGTCATTTTCCACAGGACTCTGAGTGTGGAAAGGTCCCCTGGGAAATCACCTCAGTTAATACCTGAAAGAAACATGGGCAGTGAGATTGGGCCAAGAACGCAGTGGAGTGGTGACAGCGTCAGGGAAAGGGTCAGTCGGTCCTTCAGGGACCTCTGTGGCTGGGAAGGTCCTTACCAGTCTTTCTAAGCATAGAGAGGTGGCCTTCGTGTCCTGTGACACACTTAAGTCACTGGATGTCAGCTGCCACTCAGGAGGGGACAAAATTTGGAATGACTGACTCTCTTTAGCTGAAGGCAGTCTCTGGAAGGGATCCATCTGTCAACCATCAATAAACAATACTCCAGGCAGTAGCCTGGAGGGAAAGGGGGTGCTGTTCTCCATTGGGTGCTGAGGCAGTCGATGCACTAAAACATCCTCTGTGCAATCAATCAGTCCGCATGGCAAGCCCGTGCCACAACAGAGCCACCTTTTAAAATGAGGAAATTGACGCTCAGAGAGGGGACCTACCCTGTCTAAATCACACAGCCGGTATCTGAGCCCAAGTTAAACTGATAAACATCACCTGCTGGCTACTACACTAGCCTGCCTCAGAAAGGAAAAAGGGAAAGGTAGTAGACAGGAGGGTGCTGGGACTGGCCTCAGCTTCCTTCACAGCTCTCTCTAAAGTCAATTAGGGAGATTTGGACAGTGGCCAAAAGCAGTCCATGGAGTTGCTGGCTGACTGTTTTGATGCTTACCAACCTTGGTAATTGTTTAACTTCTGTGTGCTTCTGTTTTCTCATTTGCAAAATAACAGTACAAGCTCCCTTGTGATTATTATGAAGTCTCAAGGAAGGAATGTGGCTGGGAATGTGGCTCAGGGGTAGAGCATTTACCTAAAAGATGGAAGACCCTGCATGGGTTCAGCATGCAGCAGCATTTTAAAAAGGAAGAGGAGGCCTGGGGAGATGGCTCAGTGGTAAAGTGTTTGCCTTGAAGCTTAAGGACCTCAGCTGAATTCCAGAAGTCATGGAAGAAGAAAAAGAAGGAGAAGGAGAAGGAGAGGGAGAAGGAGAAGGAGGAGGAGGAGGAAGAAGAAGAGGAGGAGGAGGAAGAAGCAGCAGCAGCAGCAGCAGCTGGGCCCGCAGGTGTGCACACACGTCATCCCAATACCAGGAGTTAGGAGTGTAGAAATAGGCAGAGCTCTGGGGCCTTCTGGCCAGTTAACCTAGCTTACTTGATAAGTTCTGGGCTAGTGAGAGCCCTTTATCAAAAAAAAAAAAATAGTGAGGGGTAGACGGCGCCCCAGAAACAATGCCCAAGACCGTCTTCTGGCCTCCACATGAGCAGAGCATGGGCCTGCACCTTCACACACCACACACTCGCATACAAAATAAAGTAAGTGCGAGGAGGAGAGAATAAATACAGGAGCAGCCAGGTCTGGCGCTGTGTCCAGCCTGTGACCAGCACACAGGAACGTTAGCTATTTTTGCGATGTTTTCATCTGCAGTGACTCTTGACTGTGCAGGATACACTGTCCTAGAGCTACCAGAAGATGGCCAGGCAAGAGAAAATTCTCTCCTCCTGTCTTCAGAGTGAGCATGACCTCCTTCTAAACTACTAGAACCTTGAAGAAATAAAACCTGTGTGATTGGTTTTATGATAGTCTTACTATACAGCCCATGCTGGCCTTGAACTTCTCACCTCCTAGATTAGGCTTCCAAGAGCTAGGATTAAAGGCATGAAATTCCATGGTGAGCTCAAACTAACTTCTTTTGTTTTCAGCCACTGTGTTTATACTAGTTTACTACAAAAGCCTCACAAAACAAACACACTAAATGTGTATCTTAGTGAAGAGACACCATGACCACAGCAACATTTTTTTTTTTTTGGAGGGGAGCTTCTTTGAAACAGGTTTCTCTGTAGCTTTGGAGCCCTTCCTGGAACTCTGTAGACCAGGATAGCATTGAACTCAGAGATATGCCTGTCTCTGCCTCCGGAGCGTTGAGATTAAAGGTGTGTGTCACTGCTGACCACAGCAACTCTTATAAAGGAAACATTTATTTGAGGTGCTTACAGTTTCAGAGGTTCAGTCCATTATCTTCACGGCAGGACATAGCAGCATGCAGGCAGACAGCATCGTGCTGGAGAAGGAGCTGAGAGTCTACATCCTGATCTGCAGGCAGCGGGAAAGGGTCTGTGTCATGCTGGCCAAACTTCAGCTTATAAGACCTCAAAGCCCACCCCCACAGTGACACGCTTCCTCCAACAAAGTCACACCTCCTAATGGTGCCTCTCCCTACAGATCAAGCATTCAGACACATGAGACTCTATGAGGGCCGTACCTACTCAAACAACCACAATATGTAATCTTGTTTGATAGCTTCCTATATAACCCACAAATGTAATTGCATTATCCATCAAGATGTTTATGATTTGAATATACTCAAATTAAAATCATCAGAAGGCTTTCTGTCCATTGTGCAAAGTAAATAGAGCTTGGATTCTATCCCCTTGACTAGACATGAGCAGGCCACACCTAGGAGTGGGTTATCTCTCTGAATTATGTGGAAATAATGAATTTTTTCCCATCAAAGCACGCATGCTGGGGTGACAGAGATGGCTCGGTAGTTAAAAGCCTGGCTGTTGTTTCAGGGGACCCCAGTTCAACCCCCAGCACACCACCATCCTTATCTAGGAGATAGGATCCCTCTTCAGACATGCAAGCGGTGCACAGACACACATGCAGGCAAAACATGCATTGTCTTAGCTAGGGTTCCTTCCTATTTCTGTAGTGAAGCACAATGACAATCGCCACTTGGGAGGAAAGGGCTGATTCTGCTTACACTTCCACATCACAGGAAGTCAGGACAGGACTCAAGCAGGACCGTAGCCTGGAGGCAGAAACTGCTGCGGAGAGTCCAGAGGAGTGCTTCTTACTGGTAGCTTCCCATGGCTTGCTCAGCCTACTTTCTTATAGAACCCAGAACTGCCAGTCCAGGGATGACACCCCCCAAAATATACTGGGTTCTCCCCCATCAATCACTAATTAAGAAAATGCCTACAGGCTGGCCTACAACCTGATACATTTTCTTTATTGAAGTTCCCTCTTCCCAAGTGATTCTATCTTGTGTCAAGCTGACATAAAACTGTCAAGCACACACATAGACATAAAAACAAAATACCTCAGTCTAGAGGTCAAAGCTTATACACAGCAGCCAGGCAGAGCTAGACTTCCTTGTAGTCTTCTTCACAGAAGATACCCAGGTGTACTGGGAACTCGGGAGGGAGATGGGAAGGGAATCTTCTCTCACGTTGGAGTTCCCAACCTGCCCCATCTGTTAAGTCTTACAGGAGCCAGGCCAAAAGGTATAAAATCTTGTGACTTTTTACAAGAGAGACTAGAAGTTTGGATTTTTTTTAATATGTAATTGTCCTTTTATTTATTTTTTTATTGTGAGCATCCATTTAAAGTTTTAAGACCAAATAAAACACAGAAGCTTTGGCCTCTAAGTTTGTCCTTGTGAGTTAGACCTTTACAAATAAAGGCCGTTTCATTCCGCTTGGAGGTGAAGAGACATAATCTCGGCTTCAGAACACAGTGCCTGGAAAAGATATGGGAGAACTCTGTTCATTCCTTGCCGATGAGCCTTGAACTTAAACTACAGCTGCTTTTGTTATCAAGTTGTCCTGGTGCAGGGAATAGCTTTGTAAAACCAGCCCGCTAAACACGCAGTGGCCAGGCTCGGCGAACGGAGGCCGCCGTCATAGAAAACCAGCCCGCTAAGCCATGTGCCAGGCTCGGTGAACACAGGCTGCCGCCATTGTCTTGACAGCTCTGACTTTTCTCCTTAGGTTGCTTCTACAGATGCCATCAAACTGAGGAACGAAAGGGTCAGGGAGAGGATACAGGGCAGAGAGGCGTGGGGGAATATGGTAGAAGACACTTAAAGCTTATTACATACTTGTATGGAATTGGCCTTATATAAATCCACATAATTTTTAAAACTTGAGAAAGAGCACTTCCTTTTTGGATGGCCACAGTATCTAATGTTCATTGGCCAGGCTTCTAGGGTCTGTTCAAAGGGGAAGGACCTTAGTCTCTGCATTCCCTTTGAACATATATATATCTGCCTACAGCCGTAGACGCTTCGGTGGTGTTACCAGAGGCAAGTACTTTAGGTGTTGAATCCGGTCTCCCCATTCAATTGACCCGATGTCCATTAAATGTCCAGTTGTGACAGAACAAGAGAGTGCAGAGGTCCCTCCATCTTGGACGCTTGCTAAGGCGATTTTATGTTGAACTAGAGTTTGATCTCCTTGATGGGAAGCTCTGTGGGAAATTACCCGTCTTTTCCAGGAACCCGAGGTCAAGATGCCCCAGCTAACTTATCTTCTATGAAGCTGCCTGCTTGTGCAAACCTCCCACGCCACTGTTGAGTGAGATACTAAGATGTGGGTTTTAAAGGATTTTGTGTTAAAATCCCCTTACTCTAAATGCTCAATGTCACACTTGGGTCAGGGATTGTGATGCCTCCAGAAGTTGCTTTATTTTATAGGATTGTTTTGGCTATCCTGTTTTTTTTGNTTTTTTTTTTGCTTTTCCATAGGAAGCTGATATTGTTCTTTCAATGCTTGTGAAAAATTTTGCTGGGATTTTGATGGGCATTGCATTGAATCTGTAGATTGCTTTTGGTAAGATTCCCATTTTTACTGTTAATTCTACTTACCCAAGAGCCTGGGAGATCTTTGGTGACTTCTTCAATTTCTTTCTTGAAAGATTTAAAGTTCTTGTCAGACAGGTCTTCCACTTGTTTGCTTAGAGTTACTCCAAGATATTTTATGTTATTTTGTGGCTATTGTGAAAGGCAATGTTTCTCTATTTCTTTCTCAGCCCATTTATCATTGGTATAAAGGTGGGCTACTGATTTTTTTCGAATAATCTTGTATCCTCCTAAATTACTGAAGGTGTTTATGAGTTGTAGAAGTTCCTTGGTAGAATTTTTGGGGTCGCCTATGTAAACTATCATATCATCAGCAAACAGTGAGAATTTGACTTCTTCTTTTCCAATTTGTATCCCTTTGATCTCCTTTTGTTGTCTTATTGCTCTAGCTAGGACCTCAAGAACTATATTGAATAGATATGGAGAGAGTGGACAACCTTGTCTTGTTCCTGATTTCAGTGGGATCACTTTAAGTTTCTCTCCATTTAGTTTGATGTTGGCTGTTGGCTTGCTGGATATTGTCTTTATTATATTTAGATATGTTCCTTGTATCCTGCTCTCTTTATCATGAAGGGATATTGTATTTTTGAAGGCTTTATCTACATTTAATGAGAGGATGATTGGGGGATTTTTCCAGTTTGTTTAGATGGTGGATTACATTGACAGATTTTCATATGTTGACCATCCCTGCATCTCTGGGACGAAGCCGACTTGATCATGGTGGATGATTATTTTGATGTGTTCTTGGATTCAATTTGCCAGTATTTTATTGGGTATTTTTGTATCAATGTTCATGAGTGAGATTGGTCTGTAATTCTTTCTTAGTAATGTCTTTGTGTGGTTTGGGTATCAGGGTAATTGTAGCCTTATAGAAAGAGTTTGGCAATGTTCCTTCTGTTCCTATTGTGTGGAAAAATTTGAGAAGTATTGGTATTAGTTCTTTGAAAATCTTGTAGAACTCTGAGCTGAGACCATTTGGTTGGGAGACTTTTGATGACTGTTTCTATTTCTTTAGCAGTTATAGGTCTATTTAATTTACTTATCTGGTCTTGATTTAATTTTGGTAAGTGATATTTATCCAGAAAATTGTCCATTTCCTTTAAGTTTTCCAATTTGTCAAGTACAGGATTTTGAAATATGATCTAATAATTCTCTGGATTTCCTCCATGTCTGTTGTTCTGTCCCCTTTTCATTTCTTTTTTTTTTTTTTTTTTTTTTTTTGGTTTTGGTTTTGGTTTTAGTTTTTTCGAGACAGAGTTTCTCTGTAGCTTTGGTGCCCATCCCAGAACTAGCTCTTGTAGACCAGGCTGGCCTCAAACTCCCAGAGATCCGCCTGCCTCTGCCTCCCGAGTGCTGGGATTAAAGGCGTGCGCCACCACCACCCGGCCCCCCTTTTCATTTCTGATTTTGTTAATTTGGATATTCTCTCTCTGCCTTTTTGTTAGTTTGGATAAAGGTTTGCCTATTTTGTTGATATTCTCAAAGAACCAACTCTTTGTCTCATTGATTCTTTGTGTTGTTTTCTTTGTATTTTGTTGATTTCAGCTCTCAATTTTATTATTTCCTGCACAGAGGGGAATCCCACATCATTTGTTGGTGTCGTTTTTTTGTTTTTTTTTTTGGTGGTGCTGAGTGTGTTCTTACCTTGTCTACCATCTTTTCCTCTGATTGGTGTAGTTAGAGCTGTGTCTCTGGTGATCAATCTTCCAGGTGCCAGCAGATCCAAGACTCAGATGTTTGCTCTTCATGGTGCAGTCAGGGCCACGGTTCCTGTCACCCCAGAGGTCACTTGGTGTTTATGGAGGTCGCTCAGCACTCCTGAAGTTTGCTCTGCTCCCCAGAAGCACAACGTGGTAAGATCTAGTGGTCCACTCAGCTTCCTTGAGCCTTTAAGTCCTGCCTAGGGTAAGGGAAAGGCATTTAATTCCTCTAAGAAACAAAAGCGGGACCATGACCCAGGATCTCTTTGATGCTTTAAAATATGTCAAAGACTAAGAAGATTCTAGAAACTCATCTCATTGTCATCATTTTCTTCCAAAAGAGAGATTAGTTCCTTAAGGACTCTAAAGCCGTATAATCTTTAAGAAGACAATGCCCTTCAAGCCCAGACTTTGAAGTCTACAGAGGAGTGAGAAATCACTATCTCCAGCTGCTGCAGGCTGGTAAGCCAGAGAGTGGACAGGACTGCGGATGGCAAGCTAATGGCACAGGCAGAGAAACGGGCTTTGTGTTGGGAAGAGTGACAGGGGCTCTTCCATCTCCCTGGAACTCCACTAACTTTTTCCCCTGGGCTGGGAGGTCAGGAGGTGTCCTTTCCTCTCTGCAGGGCTCAACAAAGTGCATTCCTTAGTCACCTCTAGACTGTGAACAGGTTTCCACATCAGATTCTTCACGAATGACCAACAGCACCCCTGTCGGGGACTCTGCAGGCCCGAAGAGGAAAATGTGTTTTCTTTGGAAAGCAAGCAATATGCTCTTACATTTGCATTTCAAAATTGAGAAATGTCCTTGAGCAACCTGCCAACTCCTTGCGGAAAAGATAAAGGCGCTTTTTATTCTGCTCAGAACAAAATGATCCTGGCTGTTCTAACGGAATGCCAACCTTGTACCGTTATCTAAGAATTTGTCACACATTTTGTAAATCCTTCTAGCTGGAATGACTCTGATTAGATAGGTAACTGTGATTTCGAATTATGGCATTTACCCAGGAAGGAGTTTGAAGCATGTGCTCTTGTATATGCTAAGTAGAAATCTGAAGGAACCCACTCTCTTAAGGTTCATATAGGCTGTGAACAGCCATGCGATCTGTAGTAAAGTACAGAGGGTACCCCAATTTCAAAACAAGTCCGGTTCTGTCGGCTGTGGCTCTGGCGCATACAAGTGGGCTGACCGCCTCATTATCCTGCCTCTGCTCAAGCTCAGGAGACCGCACTGTCCAATGTTCAAACCCCAGAAGTTAAGACGTGACAACAACCCCTTTCTCTGTCTCCTTTCAGGTTTCCGTAACGTTTTAAATATATTTCATGCCTAAAATGTCTTTTGACCCTATTCACTCCCCACCACTGCTCCTAATGCCTTCCAGTCAACACCCTACTCCTAATTTGTGCCCCCCCTTTAAAAATAACCCACGGAGTCCACTTTGTGCTGCCCATACACCAGTGAGTGTGGAACCATCTACAGGAGCCAACCTGCCGGGGGCGCCACCCTCAAGAAAACTCACCTCCCTTCTCCAACAGCCATCAGCTGTTCATAGTTCCTCCGTTAGCCATGAAGCTCACTTTTTAAAATTTAATAGTGAGGTTATGTTAATAAACAACCATTCCAGATTTTTGAAAGAAAAGAAAACACACTGGAATCATTACCAGTCATATTTTTTTAAACGTTTTCCATGTTCAAAACCGACAATGGAAGCAAATATGGGGTTTGAGGAAACTCAAGAGAGCTGTTTCGTTCTCTAATTTTACAGGTGGGGAAAGCGGGCCGCAGACTATGGTTAACCCACATACTCAACGTGGTACTTCAGGGACTTCCTCTCCAAAGATGGGCATTATGTCTGGCCCCCTAACGTCAGCTGTGCTAACTGTCACAGGGTCTGTTGAATCTGTAAAATATGAACTTAAGGGTCAGTTTTGGAGTGCTGTTTCTATATATTAGCTAGGCATAACAAAATGTGTTTCATGTCGACATTTTCATACATGTACTAATATATTTCATCATAGCCACACCCCTCACTCATTACATTTCTGAATATGGCCTCGAACTCCTGAGATTGTTGCTTCCATCTCCTCAGTCCTGGGATGATAAGCATGCCCTTATTATTATTAATGAGTCCTGTACTTCCTTGTTGCGCACACAAAAGCATAAAGACACTAACTAGAGCTGCCAGAGCACAGCATTCCAGCAGGGTTTGGCGCTAACCACCAGTCTACCGTGTTCCACGTCAAAACTACCTGGGGTAGTAACAGCCAGGGTTCTAAGATAGCACTACCCTAGGCTTTATGCCATATGTACACAGATAAACAGACATAATTTCTGACATATTTTACGGCGTGGATGGGCATTCTAAAATAAAAGGGTCCCATCAAAAGCCAACGTATCTAAGTTTAAACACTAGAGCGGTGGGTTGTATTTTCTTAGAACAGAAATTAAAAACTTAAACTCTCCTTCCTTTGACACTTGATAATGTGTATATTTCCTTTTATGTTTTGTTGTTTACTTTGTGTCTATTCTCACTGGGAAATCACTAATTAGCTGAACCAAGCCCAGATCTGCTGCCTTACCATACACAAGTGCTCTGATGCAGGTCATGGGTCAAGTTGAAAGATAAGCAACGGTGGCTGCAAGCAAGACTCTACCAGTGCCCAGTAATGCTGAAGCCAAGGTTTCCCTCTCTTGTGAAGAAAAAAACAGTGTCTGGGAAAGCAGATGTTTAATATACATGACATCATAGGTTCAATTCCCCAATGCTTTTGCCTGCTCACACACAAGTACACTCACATATACACACAGATACATACATACACACACACTTACATACACAGATACACACATACACACACACATTGGCATCATTCTCAACATTTGCACTGTTTTGCTTTTTCTGTTTAAGTTTTTATCTGTCAGAAATTCAAAGTGTGTACTTATAACTCCCTCAGACTGGAAGTCATTCAAATGGTCCTCCTTAGGAGAAAGGGTTAAACAAGGTTTTACACAGTAACAAAGACCATGGAATACCACTCAGCTGCCACTACTTATACAGAAAACAGCACAGGTGGGCCTGGAAGGAATTGTGTCGAGAGGGGAAAATCAAAAACCTTGTCAAATATTTACATATTATATGATTCTATTTGTAAAAGTCTGAAAAGTGACAAGATGGCAGTATGGAAGAGTAGATCAGGAGTTCTGGAAGTTGCATGTGACGGGAGGGGCAGACACGATGACACAGAAGGACAAGAGTTCAGCGTCCTAACTGGTTCCGAGAATCCACACGTTCTCAGACGGCACAGAACCTTACCCCTGAAAGCCCTCAGACATCTGACTCTGCTCGTGAATTACACCCTCATCAGTCTCCTGAACTGGTGTATACTACCTGCAACAAAGGAAGAATTTACCTTCAGCGGAAATCACCTGAGGCTTCTGGGAAATCTCTCTACTTTTGCAACTGCTGATAAATGTATGATGACTTTAAAATAAAATTCTTTAAAAATAAATAGTAGCTGGGTGGTAGGATGCACATCTTTAATTCCAAAGCTTGAGAGGCAGAGGAAGGTAGATCTCTGTGAGTTCCAGGACAGCCAGGGCTGTTACACAGAGAAACCCTGTCTCAAAAACAAAGAAAGAAAGAAAAAGTACACACAATTTTTAGTGAAACAATTGATTCAGCACACACTCCTGCCTTTGCTTTTTGTTTGTTTGTTTGTTTGTTTGTTTGTTTGTTTTTTCAAGACAGGGTTTCTCTGTGGCTTTGGAGCCTGTCCTGGAACTAGCTCTGTAGACCAGGCTGGTCTCAAACTCACAGAGATCCACCTGCCTCTGCCTCCCGAGTGCTGGGATTAAAGGCGTGCGCCACCATCGCCCGGCTCTGCCTTTGCTTTTTTCTGAAGACCCTCTTAAAGGATCAAAGGAATAAAAAAGGTGTGGATTTAAAAGAGCGCGTTCATACCAGTATGTGATCACAGAAGCCAAGTAACTAGAGGGGATGGAGGGGTGGAGCGGGTGGGGGATCGGAGGGTGGAGCTCAATGACAGGACATTGATTTTTACATTGGAGAAAGAGAAGGAAATGAATACAAGATACTGTTTATAGCTGTTCTCTGGTTCAGAGCCAGGAACAGTCTGCAGAGATGACTCCCTCTGCACAAGGGCACCAAGAAGCTCAGATCCACTTGGACAAACCACCACAAGGCCACACAGCTGGAGAAGGAATGACCCAAGCTGCCACTGGCCCTTTGCCTTTGAGGCAGGTGTTTGGCGGTCTGACTAGGTGCCAGGCGTTTGGAGAATCATGGGAAACTTTTAAGAGGGCAGAGCTGAGGAAGAATTAGAGGGGTGGTTGACGATGGCCTCAGAGGAGCACTTGAGGGCTGAGTGGCGGCACAAAACCTTGTAGAAACCTCAGCGTCTCAGGGTTCCAGGTTTGCTCTGTGAACTGACAGGAGAATTAACTAGATTTCTAGGGTCCCGGTGAGGCTGCCGACCTCTAGTCAAACCAGCACTCCTCACACTTTGTAGAGCAACAGAGTCTTCCCGCCAAAGAAGATCAGAAGAATAAACCATCCAAATTGAGCAAAGAACAGAGAGAGCAGATCTACAGTCCTACAAACTAGGCCCCTATATCTCCCTATCTCTCTGGCTCAGTCAGGTGTCCTGCAAAAAAAAAAAAAAAAAGGAAGGAACGAAGGAAGGAAGAAAAGGAAAACTTGCAAATTGCCTAGACTGAGAAGCTAGGCACAAACCCCAATATTTGTCTGTGATGTGTATTGACTAGAAAGTTTTCCATCTCTGATGGGTGAAATCCGAAAGTGCAAACTTTGAGTTAGGAAAGCAGTGGTGGTTTTCTGTTGGGTCCTGCTAGGCAATCCCCCGTCTCTGTTATTTAGCCGGTTCAACCTTTGATACCGGCAGACTTAAACATATTAACTAATTCAGAGTTTACTTTCCAAAGACAAAAGGCAAGAGTGTGGTGGGATCTTCTGAGCTTCCATCCGAAGTTCCCAAGAGCAGAACCGAGCCCTCCGTGTCCCATCACACACTCAGGGAGGCCTGCCCACTATAACTTGAAACAGAAACCCTGAAGCTCTTTCCAATAATTTACATCAAGACAAGCCAACACAAAGGCAACTGTCTCTCCCAGTTTCAGACAGGAATTGCCTGGGAACCAGTCCTTTCAGACCTAATTATAAAGCCAGGTTTGAGTTACAGAACAAGACACTGTGAAAGTCAGTGTTCAACAAGCAGAACAAACAAACATGCAAAGATAAAACACAGTGGGCTCTTACCCGAGAGCCATTGCCAGCAGCAGGAGAAATGGCTTGCCTTCAGCCAAGTCTGGGGTGCCCTGGAAAGTTTCGTATCTCTCCTGTGAGACAGTTCCCAGAACCCCAAACTCCTCCACTCCTTGGCAAGGTATTCCTATAATAAGTAAACTACATTTCCCAGAATTCTCTTTGCCCAACCTTGGGGCTATACTTTAGAGGCTATACTTTAGAGCAGGTTTTTGTTGTTTTGGTTTGGTTATAAGTAAAGATGTTTGACTGTGACAACCTTTTGACGTGCAGAATTGATGCAACTCATTTCAAATCTCATCTTATCACTAGCGCCCTTGGGCTTGTTTTCAAAGATAAAGACTTGGAGCAGACTGTTCCTGGACGGTAATGAGGGATCTGATTGTTTGCCCTTGCTTGTTACACATCGCCCTTCAACTAGATGAGTGGACATTGACCGTTAGCATGTGTCAGAATCACCTGAGCTGCCCACTGAAGCACAGCCTGGGACCCACACCCACAGTCTCTGATTCCATAGGCATGGGGATGGTCCAAGAAGGTTCATTGCTTGCACATCCCTAAGGATGCCCATGCTACTGGTCCCTCGATCACACTTTAAGAACTTCTGAGATGCTGGGAGCATAGTTCAGTGGCAGAGCACTTGCTTACTTAGCCTGTGGGAGGCCATGAACTTAAACTCCAGTGTTCCCCACCTGTGGGACTGGCGAGATGGCTCACTGGCCAAGAGGACCGCTGCTCTTGTAGTGGACTGAAGCCCAGTTCCCAGCATCCACAGCAGGTAGCTCAACCTCCTGCACCTCCAGTTCCAGGGAATCCTCCAGCATTGTACACACGTGTATGCGCACACATACTCATCACACAGATGTGATTGCTCTTCTCAAATCCTCAGCCCAGGAGTTCTCCCCTCCCCATGCTTTTGGTAGTGTGAGCCAGCCAGTCTAATAGTCACATCAGGCTTTAGTGACAGTGCCCAGTGACAAATTAGTATCATATATCTAATTCTCTGTCTACCTCCTCCATACAAGAGATATATCTAACTCTCTGTCTACCTCGTCCATGCAACAGCAAGGAAGATAGACTCGTAGGAAACACCCCCAAACCCTGTGCCCCAGCCTGCCAGTTATAAGGCCATCAGGCATCAAAACTGAGCTTGGCATATGAATAACTTTCACTATACCCTGGGGGCCATGTAAACCACACTTTCCACTGGATTTTCGAATTCACAGCCCGTCTCCTTCACTCTTCATAACACAACTCAGCAATCGGAGGCCCTTGAGGAATAAGAAAAAGAAAACAACCAGAAAACAAATTTGGTTGTCTTTTCATTCCAGGGCCATGAAACTCTTTTGACCATGGTTCACAACTATCCTGAAAACATATGCCCAGATAAGCCACTATTTTGGTAGCGATACATCTTCTAAATACCACTAAGCCTGACGTCGCGCTTGTCCTTGAATTGAAGAACGATTCCACTTTATTGCCTTAGCCTTGAGTGTAGTTGTCAGTGCTAATAACTGACAGACTCCTTCGAAACAGAGGGTGTGTCCTGATTCACCAGCCCCTTTCATTCCAAGGGGTCTGTTGAAAGCTCAGAGTTTCAGGCTTGTACTTTGTTATACAAGCGCGAATCCAACTTTCCGATTGTTTTTATAGATACTCTTGGCAATGCTAACAGTAAAAATCTACACTTAACTGGATTTTGGGACTGTAGTGAAAACTACCACTCCACGGGAATCCCAGCAGAACACATGGGAGACTCACCTCTAAGCTTGGAGTCTTGGATTAGTGCCCAACTCCCAAGTGCTTTGCCTAGTGTTTTCATGTTAACTGTTTATTATTTGTGGTGCTGAGGATTGAAACCAGGGCCTGGTATAATAGGGGCTGAGAATGCAAGTTAGGAACTCCAGTGGGGCAGCAATCACAGCCATAGGAGGGGTCTTTTGCAGCTCAGCGCTGCAGGGGGCAACTGTTGCATTGGCTGGAGTGCTGGCAGCCCCAGCAGAAGCAGAGACATATTTCCTTAAAGAACTTCCCCGGAAGAAGCTTTTAAAAAGCGGTGAAGGCAGACTAGGTGTACTTTTTTTTGAAAGTTCACTGCTTTGTCATTTGTGTTTCAAATGCTCTTTATGTGCAGGGTCAACCTCCTTCGTTGCAGCATCATTTATAAGACCCTTAACCCTTAACTGATTGATCATTAAAACATTCAGGATGGTTCATATCGAAATGCACGGGCTACAACACTTTTAATATATACACAGCAGGACTTAGTGTACCTGAAGTTTTGTTGTTGTTGTTGTTTAATTTTAGGATAGGCAAACTTTTTTGGGTTTCAGACAAAGTTCTACTATGATGCCCAGGCTGGCTTTGAATTTCCAGACTTCAATTCTCCTGCCTCAGCCTCCCTACTAGCTAGAACTACAGCTACCTCCATCCTCAACTTTACTTTTACACTTTTTGTGTGTATGAGCTGTGTGTATGTGAGTGTTTGTGTGTGTTACACAGCGCTTAGATATAAATAGCAATAAAAGGCTAATTCAGCTCAGTTTGTCATGCTCTTAAGAGACTTCCGACTGTCAGCTCCTCGCACTATAACAAAGAGGTGGAAAATGGGACCCGAGGGAACAGAATTTGCATGAAGGTAAAAATTTTCCTATTGCAAGTGGCTGAGGATTGAACTCAAGTCATGGAGGTGAAAATAGGCAATAATCCAGATAATTCTAGGAAAGAGTCTGTGATCCTTTGCTAGACTCTGAAGCTATCCAGACCACAGGCTTCTGGTCCCCGCATGAACAAGCAAGCACAAATGCATGCCAGCAGCATGCTGGGTAAACACTGGGGTAGGTGGTGGCTAGGGCAGCGTGAGTTTTAGGTGTTTGAACCTCACATCCCAAAAATGTCTATGCTACAGACCTGGATCACAAAGTGATAATTTCCCCATTAGGGAGAATCTCCATTCGGGCCAGAGCAGGCTTCCTTCCCGCCTCATTCCTGCTCTGCCCCCATTCAGCCAAACGTATAGTCCTCCTACGGAGGTCATCACTGTCTCTATCTTCACTCTGACAGTCCGACAGTTCAGGTCACAGCAGACTGCTGCTGGCATGACTGAAGTTGATTCCTGACTTGTCTCAAGGGTACCAGCTTTTCCTTTACATCTCAAAAGCACCAAATCCAGTCTTTCTAAAATACGAATCTGACCATGACAATCCACCAGTTTAAAATTACTAGCCAGAGATGGGTGCAGTGGTGTGCACCTGCAATCCCAGCGCTTGACGCAGAGGTGGGAAGATGACTTTAACACAGGAACTCTGAGACTGGCCTGGGAAACCAGCTGGAGATGATATCGCCCTCAGGATGAGCGTTTACTAGGTCCTCATGGTCTGGTTGCTGTTGACCACTCCAGGCCTGTCTCCATTGGCGCGCTCTCTTTCCTCAGCCTTGTGTCAGCTTTTCATTCCCGTGACACAGATTCAATGAATTCCTTTAGAGGGAGAAAAGGCTTACTCACAATGTTTACCCACAGTTCTGTCGACTTTGGGCCATGACTATCCAGCCTGAACCTGGGCCTGGGCCCACTGTTATGGAGTGTGAAGTGGAATGTGCGTTATTTGATGACTTGAAGATCTCCAAACACAACCTACCTCTTGAAGGTTCTACTGCTTTCCTGCATCACCAAGCTGAGTACCCCCACCCTGATGCGTGACCTGGAGTATTGCAACCCATTGTTCTGACTCCAGAGCCTGTTCTTGCTTGATTTCTCCTGCTGCAGGAAACACCACAACCAAAAGCAGCTCAAAGAAGAAAGGGTTTACCATCCACCACTGAGGGGAGAAAGGCAGGAGCCTGGAAGCAAGAGTTGAAGCAGGCAGGGATCACCAAGGAACACTGCTCCCTGGCTCTCTCCCAAGCTCACCTTCAACCACCTTTCCAACCCAGGCGCACTTGCCTAAGGATGGTGCCACCCACGGAGGGTAAGGCATCCACATCAATCATCAATCAAGAAAATACTCCACAGAGACACCCACAGGCCGATCTGATGGAGCCAGTTCCTCAGCTGAGTGTCTCTCCTCCCAAGTATGTAAAGTGACAATGGAGATCAGTCATCACACAAGATCTTTGTACACACGGCCCCATCTTAGGACCTCCCCGCTACACTTTTCCAACACCCCAAAGACTATAAGCTGCTCCTACTCAGCACTTTCTTCTTACACAAACTTCATCTACGTATTTCACAAACGCCAGAAAGGTACTTGTTTTCAACTGTATTTCTAAATCATCATAACACGATGTCTGGCACACACAATAGTCACTTGATAAATATTTGTTAAATAGATGAGCAAACGAATTCCAGGAAATATCTTCTATTATCCTACTAGTGTTGGACAATCATAATCATGCTTGTGCTTTTTCTTACTACGACACCCTGAGGATATGTGTGAGAACATTAAAGATACAAAGGCAGAATTGTCTCAGGGTTACTTAAAGGAAGTGACTAGTCAATAAACAAAGAATGGGGAGGGAGGAAAAACATACTACGGACAAAGGAGAGGAGGGGCTGGCCAATTCAAAGAAAATAGCAAGTACATTTCATTCCTGAGACAGACACGTGAAATCAGGTCCATGGTGTGGTTAGATCAGGGAGCTGCTATTTCTTGGGCCAGTGTCTGCATCCTAGGCTGGCCCAGGTACAGTGTTCTGACACCAGGACCAGGCCATAAGCTATAAAGAAAAGGCAGTGGATTGGAAAGACTCCATTCAGACCAATTGGAACCTGTCTAGACACTCAAGCCTATGACTAATTTTACTTATCACAGGCTTTCATAGACGTATTAAGATTTCTCCAACCCATACTTCATGCGTTCAGCTCTTCCCTGGTAGGAAATATGTTTCTCTTTTATCTATGATCACTACAGAGAAAAGATAATACGTAAAATTGTCTTGTTTGTTTCTTCTGCTACTGACCTCACTCAATCCCGCAGCAATGTTTCTGGGCAAGGCAACGATTCCTTCTTTCAACCCTGTAATTAGAGCATTCTCCAAGGCTCAGCCATGAACTCCTGGTGTTTTCCTTCTGGATTCTTTCTTTGACAAACCAGTTCTATATCACGGCTCTCACTTTTAGATTTACATTCCATACCAAAGATGCTTAAGGGACACCCACTCTGACTTGGTAGGATTCCAGGCCCACAGCTTTCATCGTCTCAA